CCACTGTAAATACATGAGGCTCTTTTTATTGTAAATTACAAGCTGCAGCTTGGACCCACAAGCGCCCCTTGCTCAGGTTAGTTGGGTGATTTAAAGATTCTTGTCCCTCCCAGCATGCCCAAGGCAGGGGCAGTTTCTGCCTGACAAGCATCTATTGGTCAAAATGCTACATTTTGAATTAATTGGCTATAGGAAGGTCCCCAAACCATTAATGACCTGGTGTCCCTCCCTAGGGGGATGGGCCAGTTTCCTAGCAACTGTATCTCTAGTGGGTGGGGAAAGAATGCAGTAAGGCAGTTCTTCCCCTCAGGGCATTCCTGGACTTCTCCACCCAGCTAGTTCAGGCCTTAAACTTTAATAATTACTGCTGATTTTTAATCTTTTGGTCTCTCACTTACCTATGAGCACAAGGACCTTCGTGCCTCCTACAGTAAGAAAGAGGGAAAGAGAAAGATTGTGTGTGTGTGTGTGTGTGTGTGTGTGTGTGTGTGTGTAGTTTAAATGAAGTTGTATAAGAGGCTACCAAAACGTCAGAGGCTATCAATGTTGGTTTCCTCCCACACGTTGAAAGTGAGTGGTGAGTCCATATTGCTGATGATTCCATGTGCTTTGGACACAGGAGGGTCCAAGATGTCTCTGACCTGAAAATCTCCTCCCTGGGGACTAGCTTTCCTAATATGAGAAGGTTCTCTGCCACAGGAAGGAAGTAGCCAATACCCTAGCTAGCTGTGACACCCATGAACCACAACAATGGCAAGATGTCTGTAAAGGTTCCATAGTCGTGCTTAGCCTTTTTCTCTACTGAAGACTTCCGAGCAATTAGTTTTCTGCTCACTGCATTCTGTGGGCAGGATCTTGAAGGACTTAAATCATAATTCCTCACAGGAACACACATCTGCTCAGCCCCATACAGGTTGTCCTGTTAACTGTTGCTATTCCTAGAGACTGTCTGTGCTCCATAACCTTGGGAAAGCACTCCGAGGTCAGGCAGGGCACTGGTTAAAAACAAATCGTTCAGTGGGCTCTTTCCTTCTCCACACCTTGCTTAAGCTGCCAGGCACTTGTCTCTGAGAGGCTGTGGTCACTTCACCACACCTGGGTCCCTGGGGCTTTGTAGGCCTGGTGATCGCAGGGCATATTCCTACAAATCCATATTCAGATGTAATCTGTACAAAGAAGCGGAGTGGAATTTGACACGTAATACAGAAACTGAATTATCAAGTTAACGGGAGTGAGTGTTTCCGCCGCCATTCTCTTTCCCAAAGGCTAATGCATTCCAGGAGGAGCTAAGAATGATTACAAGTGTCTGTTGTACCAAGGCTCTCTACAGCCGACAACTGTGATGGTGCTATTTTTTTATTTGATTTAATTTAGCGCATTTGTTTTCTATAACCGCAGAGAATGGCTCTCATTGGTAGCCTGCTACAACTTTTGAGAACAGGAACCCTGGTCTTGCCTGTCTCCAGTGATCTACATAGGAAGACGAGTGCATTCTCTTTATGATCAGATGTTAGCACAGAATGATGCATTTGAGACACATTCTCTGGCATGCTTTACCTTTTCACTCATTTGCCCTGAACATGTGGAAGTCCTGAGTTTCTGTGAACCTGTTCTTTCTGGAGATTGTTTTTCCCTCGCTATTTTTAAATATAGAAACCTTTGTGTGAAGCTTTATCTAGACAATATCACTTCTTGGGTTTTATTTCTCTTTTGTTGGAATGCTGTGGATTGAACCCCAGGCCTCCCACGTGGCACATGAGCGTGCTGTTCACTGAGGAATAGTCCCCAGGCCTATTTTTTGGGGTTTATTATTATTATTATTATTATTATTATTATTATTATTATTACTATTACTATTATTATTAAATTGACACTAACATTAACTTTTAACTCCTTTGGGTTTCTATTATTTTTGCTTACAAAAAAAAAAAAGGAATAAGACAAAAGAACAAAGAAAGAGAGGAAAGAATGAGGCCACCATGGCATTATGGTGGCTGCCACCGGCACTGACAGGCCAAGTCAAAGGCTGTGTAGCATCAGACATGTCCTGGCCAGTGCTTTGTTCTCAAAAGCACTTTTCTTTGGAGAACCATCTGCATGTTACGGACCAGTTGGTGTACCTTCCCAACCTTCCTAGTGGCAAAGTCAGAGCCGGGCAAGAACTGTGCAGATGAAGCTTTACCGGCAGGCAGCAGAACTGGGCTCTCTGTTCTGTAAAACTGAACTTGGGCAAGGTGATTGTGAAGAGTGGCTGTCTAGTGTGGAAGGGCTGGCGGCACCCCCGACCCCCTGGCGTTCCGAGAACAAGCCTTTAACTGGTTCGCGTCCTGCGTCTCCCCTGGGCCGCTTGCACAATAATCCTCAAATAATCTTCGGCAAGTCTACGTAAAAATGCGAGCGCTTCCCCCGTCTGGATCGGATGTTCCGTTAGAGTTAGCCCTGGTTTATTTTGAAGCCCTAGGGGTCCCACCTGGAGCCTGTGGCCTCTTCAGAAACAAGCAGTTACTTGTTTCCCAGGCAGGGCACAAGCAGGCCTGCAGCGTACCAACCACAGGGCCCCGTGTGCGCAGACCCCCTTCCCAAGCCCCTCTGGGAGCCGCTTTTGTGGCAGATTCCATTCGGTTTCACAAGACCTGGAAGAGTACAAGGGACACTTGTCACTGCCCCCAATCTCCCACGTCCAGGACTATTTGCAAACTGCTCTCAGAAGGAGCCCCAGACCAACCCCTAACAGCCGCTCCCGCAAGCACCATTGTCTGCGCTCGCCTTGCCTTTTCCCAGCTGACCTGCCAGTGAGTAGGGAGATGTGAAAAGTTAGAGACAAACTGGCTTCCACAGAGGGAGGGAGCTTTCTTGTACAGAAAGGAAGGAAATACCTCTGTGGGATTTCATTTTTTTTTCCACTCCTCTTCATCCAAAAAAAAAAAAAGAAAGAAAAATACAAAGAGACTCTCTGTCTTAAATGGGAACCCTGGCTTTAAATCTTTTAGGTTTGGATTAACGCTGCAAGAGGGGGGGAAAAAAATCTGACAGGCTTTCAGATATGACTCAGAAAAAGTTTTTTTTCCCCCTTCAATTCATGTTGTTCATTTGTAAAGCCAAAGGCCAGTAGCTGAATAGTGGCCTGTAGTTGCTCCCGCCATTAGCATGACAACGGTCAGAATTAGCAGCCTGCTGGATCCAAGTTCTTCTTGTCGGCAGAGACGCCTAACTGGAGGTTAATACACGGTGGCCAAAGGCAAGAACAAGTCTTTCTTCTCTTGCCCTCAACATTAAAATACATTAAAAAGTAAGCCAGGGAGACACGTTTTCCATCATATGACTGAGCATCTCATCCTACCCTTTTCCCCAGGAAGAAAAAGATATGCAAGGGTTTTTGTTTAGTTTAGCTTCTTGTTGTCTAACAGCTGTTACCTTACTAGAAGGCGTCCTTGAATGGAAACAAAGGCCAGTGGGTTGACAGGCATTTCCTATTACATACTTACTGTTGGTTTTCACTATTGAGGATGTCAGCAAACGAGGCCCAGATCCTGTTTTGCTTATTAAATAAAGTGACTTTTATGGGGGTGTTTTTTTACTTGTTGGTGTCTAGAACATGGATGCTGTCCTTCAGGACCCGTGAGGCAGATTTTATTTTCTGAGTTTTTGTTTTTTAAAGGATGGCATGTTCTTGTTTTAAATTCGCAGAGATGTCCAGCCCTGTGTTAAAAAAAAAAAAAAAAAAAAAAAAAAAAAACTTAGCATCCTTTAGTGGCAGACTATATCAGTAGCCTGTGTTCATGTAAGAAAAAATGGGAGTAGTTCCTGGTTCCCTCAGAGAGTCCAAATTAATAGGGGATCCAACTCATATTTTAAAATTAATTATCTTCCTCTATGGTGAGGATTGATTGACTAAAACTGTTCATAATTGTAACTGCACCTAGAATTAAGGGCTAGATCCTTTTTTATTCCTGAACCAATTCCTGAATTCAAGTTTAAAAACAAACAACAAACAAACAGAAAACCCTTCCTGTCTGATTTGTAGCAGGACTAAGTGTGCAGGTATCAGTTGACAAGTTTGTGTTGTAGTTATTATAGTGTACTTACAGACTAAAAGGGTACTGCAGGCTTGCCCTTGAGAAACAATTCAACTCGAAGAAGTGAAATCAAAACAAATCTTCTATTGTACAGAACTGTGTAATCTAACTCCATAAGAATGATATGTTATTTTAACCAAAAGCAACTAAATAGAATTTATTACTTTTTTTTAAATCATAGAACTATTTTTGTTCATAGTCTGACAGGCTCTGATACTCAATTTAAGATTTGATACAATGGAATAATTAAGGTTAATTTTTGTATACCTTTATTTGAGTTTCACATACGAGATATTAGCAATAATAGATGTGCACTGATAAAATGTATATAAATCATTAAAGCAAGATTAAGTCTATTCAGTTGCCCAAAATAATCAAGTTGTTACTTTCATAGACATCTTAATTTGATTGCATCATAGTCATAATGTATCTGGATGATTTTTAATGGCCTGCAGTGTGATGAGTATAAAGTTAATTTTCATGTGCCAGAAATTGTTAAATTTTGTTTCTAGATAATGATTATTTTATATGCCATTTGATTTCACTTAAACCCAGAGTGTATTTTATTTCCTCAGAAAGATTAATAAGATTAGAAAAGATTAGAAAAGATCAGAATTTATGCCTCATGTCATTGAGCAAAAGAATAATAATAATAATTTTTTAAAATCCATATGTATATATGTGAAAGTACCTGATACGTGTTTAAGACTTCTCTATCAGCTACTTGAGAGGAAGACAGCATGTAAAAGAATGGCATGATAAATATTCCAAAGTCTTACGAGTTTGAGTTGAGAATATTGTCTTTCCTCTTAGAAGATGATATTTAAGCTACCTTACTTAAATTGCGTTAAGAAACTGAGCATGACCGTTGTGCCTCTCAGCTCTGTGGAAGTGTAAGCTGTTTGTTTGTCCTGATGTCCACAGGCAGCCATGCTCTTCAGCTCTGGAGTCTTCTGGGTGGGCTTGCTCTCCATTCCCGTGGCCTCCTTGCTTTTGGATGTGCTATACAAAGTGTGAGTATGTGACTTTTGGCTAAATACACAAAAATATACATGCTATCACCCCTCAGTTTCTGTAGTTCTCAAACATATAAAATTTACAAAATAGGAACCAGTAATGTTTATTAATATTAAAGAAGAAAGGCATGAATCAAGAACGAAAAAACAAAATTAGTTTAAGAAACCATATGAGAAATAAAGCAGGTACTTTCAGGTAACATCAAAGAGATAGCATTTGTGGGAGTGGAGAAGATAACAACCAAAAATATGTTCTTTTTAGAAATCACATGGGGCTGGAGAGATGGCTCAGTGGTTAGGAACACTGGCTCCTTTTCCAGAGGTACTGAGTTCAATTCCCAGCAACCACATGGTGGCTCACAACCATCTGTAACATGATCTGAAGCCCTCTTCTGACATCCAAGCATAGATAGGTAGATAGATAGATAGATAGATAGATAGATAGATAGATAGATAGATAGATAGATAGATAGATAGACAGACATAGAGTACTCATAAATGTCAAATAAATAAATAATTCTTAAAAAAAATCACATGCAAGACCTCAAAATAGAAAGGAAAACAAGTTTTTTTTTTATCTCCAAATGTGTTTTTTAGGATATTAAAAAGAGTTCCTTGCTTCTCTGGTTCTAAACATAGATAAAATATAAGGGCAACAAAAACTTCACAATTTTTTTTAGCAGTTATGTTTTAAAATGATGTGTTATCCTACAATGTAGTTAGTAAAGTTAAGGATATATTTATTTAGTAACTATGTATTATAAGTCTTAATTATGTGTTAAGACTATAAACAAATGTTGTTGTCCCTGTATTACTAAATAAAAGTGCCCTGGCGTTTTAGGTTTGTGCCTATCCCTGGTTATGCCTGTGCTGGCCAGCTGCGTAACAGTAAGCCACACATCTACGTCTGTAGTCTTCGTAGAATTTCCATGCAAATCCTTTTCTCCCCCACAGCATCAAGAGGACTGCCTTTAAGACATTAGTGGATGAAGTTCAGGAGCTAGAGGCAAAATCTCAAGACCCAGGAGCAGTCGTACTCGGGAAAAGGTAAAAGGCAAATTGCCTTTTGAATATTCTTACAAAAGAGAATTTTACATTTTGCTCTTACTAGTCGTTGGAAATAAGCTGGGAAACTTCTTTTTATCCTCTAACTTGGGATTAGATGATATTATCAGCAGATTATGGAATCGGAGAGGTATGGACTCAAAGCAAATCTGTGATCATTAAATAGTGTGTTGTCTGACTGGGTTTCTTAATGCACCTGAGCCTAATTTTTTTCATTAATAAAATGGGACTCTTATGCCTACGTTAAAGCAGTCATAGGGATTGGGTGAAATAATGGAAACAGAATGCCGTAGACCTTCAGTCACAGCACTTAGGCAGCTGAAGCAGGTATTCATAAGTTTGAGGCCAGCCCCAGCCACGTGAGAAATTTCAGGCCAACATCAGTTATATATTGAGACCTCATCTCTAAAGAGAGAATAAGGAATCGAAAGATACACTATGAAATATGTAGCATAATCTCGAGAGCTTACTGTTTAAAATTTTTTAAAGAAAAATATTTTTATTTTGAAACAATATTAATAAATTTTAAAGGGATGTAACCAAAATCATGGTTTGACGGATGACGAAATTTCCCTGTTCGCATTTTTTGCTCAGTGAGCTCTTAGGAACCAGCCTACATACAGGTGACTGAAAAGTGAATTCCACTTTCCAGGCTTTTTTCCTCATCACTGCAGCCTCCAAAAACACAAGGCTAGGAGGCAAATAAATCCACTAAATACACAAAACATTGTTAAAAGAAAATCAATTAAAAGCAATCTACAATAAAAAAACAAAACTATAAAGACAGCCCCGGGGATCTGCTGTATTTTTCTTTCATCCTACCAACCAAACCAAAGGTTTTGTGTAAAGTCCATAGGAAATATTTTTATCCTGCAGTATGTCGCCTCAGCCTTGCTTCAGCATTTTTATTCATCTTGACAGAGTGCAGCAGATGTGAGAGTGAGAGCTGAAGCTGAGGCCCTGGCCTCCCGTTCTTACTTCCTCTCAGTGGGTCAGGGCACCCTCGAAACACTGATGTGTAGCTCTGTTTTGAACAGAATGGCCCCAGTGTATCTTGAGCACATCCTGCCATCGGGGCACTTCACTTGAAAGCAGCCCAGTACAGACAGGTCCTCTCCAGAGAAGAACACTGGAGCTCAGAGCGACCAAGTCCCTAAAGCTGCCAGCCTTGAGCCTGGACCAGTTGTCCGAGGAGATCCTGCTCTAAATCATGATGCCATACCACGGGGTTCATCATACAAAAGCACCTTTTCTGTGACCTGGGACCTACACTCCCTCTATCTTTATTTCCTCTCTCTTGCTTTCAGTGATACAAAGAGTAAGGAAACATTCTATCTCACAAAATCAAAGCCGTGTAGTAAGAATTACTAGGGAAAGGCCACTGATGATACTGTTTCTGTCCTTCAAACATATGTCCCGTATTTGCAAGTGTGTTGGTAAAGCCTGCGATAGCCCCTCCCTTGTCATTTACCAGTTCCTGGTGATTCACGGTCAGCGAGGACTGAAGGGGTGGGCTCCACATCCTAGTCATCCCCTGAGCCTGCAGTGGATGCAGACCTTTCCACTAAGTAAAAAGCCAATCAACAGGCGCTGCAAAGAGGGCTTAGGGGTTAAGAGCACACGTTACTCTTGCACAGGACCTGGTTTGGGTTCCCAGCTCCCACATGACAGCTCTTGACTATCAATAAATACAGTTCCGGGGGCTCTGACACGCTCTTCTGACCTCCAAGAACACCAAGCAGTGAATGTTGTGCACATACATACATGCACACAAACCATAATACATATAAAATAAATAAAGTTTTAAAACTCAGTGGGCAAATCTAAGCCAGAAAGAAGCAGATTATACCCCATATAACCACTGATTTTTCTGTTAAAGATACTTCAGATATTTTCCCCCTGCAGTTTGGACTTTTGGACCCAGTTTGGACCCAGCTCATTGGCCTTTTAAAATATCTATTCAGCTTTCCTCAGGAATGAGTTAGGTAAACTTGACTAAATACTAAACCAGCCCCTGACCCAGCACATCCCTGCATTCTTGCTGCTTGCTGGTGATCAAGGAGAGCATGGTGGCTTCCTGCTAAAAAGCAGCTCAAGGAGGGATAAAGTAGAAGGATCTGTAGGAGAACAGCAACAGGACAGGAAAGCTGTCCTCCTGAGCTAAACATTTGCAGGTAACATCTTAACATTTATCAAACAACCATAACAACAGACTGTGAATGCAAACCCAAAGGCCAGGGCTGGAAGACGGTTTAGCCGAGAAGAGCATTTACTATGCAAGCATTAAGAGTGAGTTCAAGTCCCCAGCACCATGTAAAAGGCTGGCTGTTCTCATCCATGCCTGCAACCCCTGCACTTTGGGGGAGTGGAGGTTGGAGGATAGTTGCGGCTAACTAAAATCAGGATATTTCCAAATTCAGTGAGAGACCCTGCCTGTAAGGAATAAGGTAAAGAGTGACACAGCCAGACACCTGATGGTCTCCTGCCCTTTATACAGGTGCTTGAGGAGACACACACCCAAAAAGGGGGATGTGATAAGGAGTTATGGAGAGACTGTAGCCTCGCTGGGGACAGAGCAACTCTTGGATATCTCTGGAGTATGTGTGCTGTGTATGTGCAGCTAAATAATGATAATGAGACTCACAGTTTGATAGTCAACTGTGGACATTAGCTAGCAGAGCTGTTTCTTCACAGATCTGAGCTCAAGGTCTTTGGGTCAGGCTACATCAACTTGTCCAACACGCTGTCTCGCAGTCTCATCGTGGAGAAGAGATGAGAGAATATGGTTGGCAGATGATTTGGCCGTGGAGGACCATGATGAGGCTCGCTCCCAGCCTCTCTGTGTCGTTTCTTAATGGAAAACAATTTTTGCATTGTCCTAGAACTAACAAATGACATTTTATGTCCCAGCGTTCGCCCCGGTCTTTAAGTCAACATGGCAGGGTACTCTGTGGGAAATAAAGAAGTATATAGAAAATCTGTCCTGTGGCTGGGAAGAGAGCTTGCCAATATAGTATCTGCCGGGGAATCTTCAGGGCCTGAATTCAGATCTGTAGAATCCACATAAAAAAACAGCAACTGCCAAGCACGCCTGTAAACACAGCGCTGTGAGGGCCAGGCCCATCCTAAAGCTCCTCTGTTGGATCATACAGTTGCCAATTGGTGAGCTTCTGGTTCACTGTCAGATCCTGCCTCAAAAAGTAAAGGTTAGAGGATGATCAAAAACAGAGTCGCCGTCAATCCCTCCACACGTTCACGCGTACACGCACACAACTACACTACCAAGTAGCATGCCATACATGTACCCGTGCGCACACTGACTTTTTCTCAATGACGTCTAAACGTTTTTTTTATTTTTAATGAAAAAGCTTTCCTTCAAGGTACTCATCACTAAGATGGAAGGGGATGGGATGGAGTATTACCTTGTCCAAGGCAGAGATCAGGGATCAGAGGGCTGTGGTTCATTCATTCTCCCAACAGCACTGCTGTCTCGCTATGCTATACATTAACCCTTTCACGACTAAATGCTTGCTTACTTTCTGGACATTTGTTGCAGTGGGCCAAACAAAATAGTCTGCCAGCTGCCCTGGTTTGCTTTCCGTTGCTGTGATGAAGACACTGTCCAGAAGCAACCTGTAGAGGAGAGGGTTTATTTCAGCTCACGGGCTGCCATCCATCCTCTAGGGAAGCCAGTGCTGGAGCCGAAGGCAGAAACCATGGGAGAATGTTACTTACTGCTTTGCTTTCTCTGGCTTGCTCAGCTACTTTGCCTACACAGCCAAGGCCTACCAGCTCAGGGTGCATTACACCAGCTCAGGCCCATAGCCCACAGTAGGCTGACCCTCCCACATTAGTCAGCAGTCAAGAAAATGCCCTACATACTTGCCCACAGGCCAGTCTAATGGAAGCAGTTTCCCTCTTCTTGGGTATGTCTAGGTTAATCTCAAGTTGATTAAACTAACTAGCTCACCAAACCAATAAATGCCACTTTAGCATCCTTCAAAGGGGACCAAAATTCCTTTAGAATACCACATTCATTGATTGCATATGAGTTTTTACCAACAGTAATGCATTTCAGTGTTTCTGAAAGAAATGCTATATTAAAACTCAGTATCTTTTCATTCACCTCCAACAAATACCTAAGTTACAACATTGTGGTGAGGTGGAAGTAAAACAACAATGTTTAAATGATAGTTACTGTATGATTGCATTAAACAGGCTTGGAACTTGCGTATCTTGGTATGTAAATGAAAGACCCTACAAGACTGAGAGAAACTACTCCCTAAGAATTGTAATAGATGTGGTTTCCGTAAGGCTATATCTTGTTCCTTCTCTCTCTCTTTCCTGTCACAGTGAGTGAAGCTATGCAAAAAAAAAAAAAAGCCTAAACTTTTAATACACTTATTTATGTTAACATGTTATCTACATATTTTATATTGGGACCTGGTAGTAATCTTGGTCCCCATAAACATGGATGACATAAAACCGCCTCAATTTTGAAATGATAAATTGTTTCCTAAGGGTAGACTAGGGCCAGAGAAATCCAACTCACTATCACCTCTAATTTATGAAGCACCCTACTGCAGATGGCATTTATATTCTGGAGTGGGGGGCTCGCTGCATGAGAACCAAAGCAGAAAACACACAGTAAAAGAAAGAAGCCAACAATAAAAATGTAGCTGTCTTCTTAGCAGTGAAGTGGGATGAGGGCATCGGGAATCAAAGCCCATGTATAGCAGCAGTACTGTCACACAGAGCCAAGGCATCAAAAATGGGCCTTACAAAGTACCTTTTCTAAGGAAATCCTTGGGATCTCGGGGACAGGGGTGGGAGGGACCAGTATTTGTTGAGTGCTTCCTAAGTGTCAATCACTTTGCTGACAAGGCGGCTAAACCCTCCCTATCCACCAGAGACTTATGTATTGTCCTCCCATCATACATGAGATGGCCAAGGAAGGTTTGTCTACAGTGACCCAGCTAGCAAGTAGCAGATTCAGAATCAAGTCAAAGACAGACTCCAAGGCCCATGCTCTGTCCTGATGGGTGTGCTGCTTTCCTGGGAAAAGCTTGGTGTTAAAAAAAAAAAGAAAGAGAGAGAGAGAGAGAGAGAGAGAGAGAGAGAGAGAGAGAGAAAGAAAGAAAGAAAGAAAGAAAGAAAGAAAGAAAGAAAGAAAGAAAGAAAGAAAGAAAGAAAGAAAATCAGTAAAGAAAAGAAAAAAAAAGCATCATGCTATGTATTTCAGTCGCCAAACTATAGAGAATGAAGTCCATCCCTAGACGTCTTCAGATTTTGCTATTATGATATTCAAGTGTTGGAAGGCCAGCCTGAAACCTGAAAAAATGGATTCAGGAGAAGAAGCCGTCAGAATGCTCCTTTGCCCTCCTCCAGCTTTCTGTAATCATTTCAGCTTCAAACACCAGAGCCAGCCAGACACCCTGTCCATAGCACTCTGCTGACAAGAGCAGGATGCTGGGTGCACACACTCTCAGCTTCCCCAAAGGAGGTACCACTTCAGTGCCTCGAGTCTCAGAGTCCATAGTGTTCAAGCGTTTGAGGAGAAGGACAGGAAAAGTGATTTGACGGAGATGACCCCTTCTCCTTTGTGTGTGGCAGGAACAGGGTTTGCAGCTAAGTGCATGACCACTGGGGTTTTCCATGAATTCATTTTCTTCTTTTAATGCAGCTAATTCCTAGTGACAATAAAATGTCTGGTAAGCCCCAGTCAGCATCCCTAGGCTTCAAAAACTATGTGAGGGAGATTAGAACAAATGTCAACATTTCTAAATATTTTTCTTCAGTTTTTGCCTGCATGTCTATGTAATTCATTTCTAAATGAGGAAGATCTTTTTTTTTTATGTATGTGTGTACGATAAAGATAATTCCATTTCTGGATTTCAAATAAACTGGCAAAACACAGAACTGACATCATTTACAGCAGATTAACTAAAGCTTATATAGTGAGGAAAAGAACAAGATGGGATTTTTTTTTTTTAGCCGATGCACTTCGAGTTATAAAACACACTTGCGTGGCCTTTCGCTTCAGCACACACAGACACCTTCGCTCCTCCTGTGCAGACTGCTCTTTGCTATCAAAGAACGTTTAATAAATCAGCCGGTAGAGATACAGCACAGTTAGTAAGGAGGAGGAGGCTGCGTGTAAGCCTGTCTCCGAATCGCTCGGATCCCTCTAGCCAACAAATGTTTGGATTCCTGTTGTGGAGGCACACCGCTGCGTGCATTAGGAGGGTGGTTTGAAGTAGTCCCGTGATTAATCTTGTAGACCTTGCTGTGGATGCCAGGCTAAGTGTGTGTGTGTGTGTGTGTGTGTGCGCGCGCGCGCGCGCGCATTTCCTTGTTTTATCTAGCACAATTACTTTCTAAAACCAATTTGTATTTTAAAATTAAATTGACACGCTCAAACCATATTGGAGTGGCACTGGAGTTTTTCTGATTAAGAAGAATAAGATTCTGTTCTCTGTACTTTTTTTTTTTTTCATTTCTTTAGTATCACAAAAAACTGTCATTTTATATCAGAGTATGTCAGAGTATGAGCAAGGTACGGTACGGCTAAGATAACTGTTTTTAAACTCTACACGTTCTGTACAGTGTACAGACAGTGAGTCGATCAAGATTTTAGGGAAAAATCTTTTAAAAAGTAACTTTTTCCTACTGATGTGGAACAGATTCCGTATCCGTTTGAGTTAGATATAACAGTGCTGGCTGAAGAATCGTATTTGAGTTAGATATAACAGTGCTGGCTGAAGAATCGTATTTTTCCTAGATTATCTATCATTAAAGACAAAGCTCGTCCCTAGCTATGGGGGAAATGGCTTCCAAAGTGTCAGCCTACATACTTAAGATCTCATTTGCAATTTGGGAAAATGGAATAAAAAGAGTAAGTTGGTAGCACGGGTTCTCCGGCCTTTGTTCTGTGTAGCCCTGCTGGGAGTCCGGCAGAGAGCCGGGCTCCCCGAGTTGCCAAGTGTTTCACACTTTTCTCCCTGCTCCACAGCCTCACGGAGAGGGCACAGCTGCTCAAGAATGTCTTTAAGAAGAACCACGTGAATCTGTACCGCTCCGAGTCCTTACAGCAGAACCTGCTTCGTGAGTACTGGAGCTTTTGATTACAACAGACTGGCTGTGCTCTGTGGATCCCAGCATTCCCCAGAGCAGTGTGCTGAGTTTCCATCGTATTAAACCATAAAATTAACGATTTAAAATTTTGCAACATGGGGTATATATTTTAAAAAATGGTTTGTTAACAAACCCATGAGCTACATCATCTCCCAGTTAAGAATGAACTTTAAAATGCTGCTGCCTCTGCGTTCCTCACATCCTTAAATCTTAAAAAGAAACAGTGAGATAAATCTTAACTCTTAAAAGCTGCCTGTGTTGTTATCGTTTCCACTTGAGTAACTTAGCAAGGGTCCCTTCAGCTTTCATGTATCGCGAAGAAACATATATTTTCCCCTTCAAAAATATTTATGCATATTTAGAGTTGGAAGAAGTTATTAGGTATCTCACCCTTTCAACATTTCAAGGACCTGAGAGAGAACATAATATACACTGCCCTATAGTAAGTTTATTGGTGTCGGTAGTTTATCTTTTATTTTGTGTTTCCACGTGTAATTTATTTTCCTTTATATCTGCTTGTGCTTGGTGCTTTTGGCCTTAATATATCATATATATCAAGGGACCCTTTCCAAAAATGTGATGCCCCTAGGAGTCATCTCCTATTCCCACACCCCCTCTGACCTTGAAAACATCAGTGAGGTCTATACATACACACACGCATATATATATATATATACAAGTACACAGGCCTCTCCTCCACCGCTGGCAATCTCTGGGTTTGTCTCCTTCTCCTCCTCAGTGCCATTAATTAACAAGTGACCATGTATCTATTTATAGAGTATAGGGTGGCTTTTCCATCTGCGTGCCCACGGCAGAATAATTTCCTCAAGCTGATTACTACGTCCCTCTGTTCACTGACATATTCGTGAACCTTCTCACTCACTCGCCGCCTATCTAAAACTGTATTCCATGCCATGATCAGATTCTGAACCCTTCCAGTCATAGGGCAGACGGCAGTAGACTTGATGTGTGGCTCAGAGGAGGGAGAGACACTTGACAGCTTCTGCCTAGTCCAATGGGAAGCAGAATTTAGAGGACGCACACTGGCAACTGCCGGTCCTTCTGCTCTCCCTTTTTGCTCTACCCTTTTTGTGTGTTTTCCAGATGTTAAAAATGAGTGGCCCTTGCTTCTGAAGGTTGGAAGTGAGTATCGGTTCTCTCAGAAGAAGGGGAGCAGTCAGAACCGGCAGTGAGTTCCCGGTGAGTGCAGGAAGTGATTTCTGTTCTTCCGCTTACTTACAGATGGCTACGCCTTCTCTCAAGATGAAAACGGCATCGTCTCCCAGTCGGAAGTGATCAGAGCCTATGATACCACGAAGCAGAGGCCAGATGAGTGGTGACTGGGCAGCCCGAGCAACAGGCCCCTGCTGTGTCTCTGAGGAGAGCTGTCACAGTCTAAGGTCATCACTGCATCTGTCGACCAATTCCAGTCTGGTCCACGGGGAGGAGAGAGCGGATCTGAGCTCATCTCACAGGCGGACTTCATGGACGTGAGCGCTGTGTGACTTCTGTAACACCATCGCCCTCAGATGACCTCAAGTACCTGCTAAGGCTTTGTAAACCGATACTGGAAATGACCTTGTATCTTGCCAGAGTGCTTTCTCTAAATGGGGACAGGTCAGTGTTCACAAGCCGTCCCCCGGGGGCTGTAGCTATCAGTTGATTGGCTCAACCACCAGTCAATCAACCAATTAAAACAACAGCTCTGAAATGGTGTTAAGGGAAAGACTGTTGATATATCCAGATTTTAGGATATGCTGAAAACAAACCAGCGTTTCGCGACTCACCCTCCTGAGCACTTCTAAACAAGGCATTAATACGTGTTTGTGTCAAAAAGTGTCTTGCTAAGTGTTTGCCAAAGACGTTGAGCGTGTGTTTCTCACTCAGTAGTCACCTGCCCAGAAAGTTAAAAGAAAGTTTCCTCACAGTACTGCTGTGCAATCTGCATGCTTGACTCTTAAACCATGAGCGTGACTTGCAAAAACTGAGCATTTCCAGGCATTTGCTACTCAAATCTGTGATGTCGCACCTTCAGCCTTACGACTGCTTCTCTGTCCTTTGTCTTCTTTGTCTGTTCCAGTCGGAGGGATCTGTGTCCGTGTGACCGTTGTTACGAACACTGGCTTTTCCTTTTTTTTCAATTGTATTTTCTGTCATGTCTGACGAACTTTAGATGTTCCTAAAAATCTGGCTTCTGTACATTGAGGGATGCCACTTTGTCTTCAGTTTTCCCCTCCTTGAGAAAATTAAGCTTCCGTATTTACGGGGGATCTCCAAAGATATTTGGGATAACCCGGCCGATAATGCATGGGCTTTTTGTCGTGTACATAGGCTCAGCGCTTGTCCTGTGTTCGCCTTGTTCCTCACTGTGTGTCCCCACTGGAGACGATTCATGTAGCACAGTTGGTGTGATGGCGACTACCCATATGCTTACACCTGAAAATGATTTCACAGTTCACTCGGCCAGCAGGTCCCAAACCTGAGTCACGTGCTGCTTGTTGGCACGAGAGAGACAGGTAACACATTTCCCTCATTTTAAGGAAATCCCTATTTCACTCCGGCCTGTAACCTTCCAGTCAATGACCGCTTCTCACCATGAGCAGGGTTCACTGATGTGTTTTCAAATATGCGTTCACTCTAGTTAGTGTGGCATTTCCATGAACTCTCCTGGGGGAAAAATTTTGCCTATTTTGCTACCTACAATAAATGGTGAAGGGGCTGTTTAAAAACCACAGCCGGTTTTCTACAGTTTTTACAATATTTTTTTCACCTTAAAAGATAAAAAGGGAGTTCTAGTTTTCAGATAACACTTCAGAGATTGAAACAAACTCTTTTTGCCTTCTTTCCAAAAGCCTGTTTGCCTTTAAGTGGACTACCAGCAAAAAAGGGACCTTTGAATGCTTGCAAGAACTAGAAAGTAGGGGATTACTCCAAATTACTCCCATTTACTCATTCACATTAATTATCCCCCCCCTTTTATCATTCTGGATTTAAAATTAGACTGTGTGTCTCTTCCTTCTCTAAATTTGTAGCAAGTTACCAGTGTGTCTCCACATCACCTACAAGGAAGAGGGTCTAGACATTCACATAACTCTAAAGGGAGCAGCGTGGACATGCTCCACATGTCAAACCATCCCTTTTAGAGCTTAGATCAAGCGACAGGTGAATCAAACTTCTAGCAGAACCACCCACGTAGAATCTGAGGTGACCTTTCAGATTGTGGGGCTGCGGACTTTAACTGTCTCCCAACTGAATCTAGAGAGTGGGTTTTCCTTAGCCTTCTGGTGGTGACAGTTGAGGTCATACCATAAAAATGAGCGGTTACCCAAAAACGGCTTGCTTCCCTTGGCCCTCGCCAAGTCGTCTGTCTCCAGATTCCTTACCTCAGAACATTGTGAATGAGGACGGAATCTTCTGACGGCCACATGAACGTCTAAAGTCATCTTTTGATCTTGAATCGTGAATTATTTTGATGGAACTCTTCCACATGAAAACACTTGTGGTTAATCAGTGTGCATCATACCCTGAAATGAGAATCTTGATGCCTTTTTGTCCCTGGATCCTGTGTCAGCCTCTGTGTTTCTTGGGTTGAGGAGAACACCAGGGAGTGTTCTTGGGTGAAACTTGAAATAGAGAATTGCTATTGCAGTGGGTTTATGGAGACTTAATACTCTTGAGTTTTAACCTTTGTCAGCTGGAGGGAAAGGCTCATGGTTTTGCCAGGATTTGAATGACTGCAGTCAGAGTAACTTTAAACCTATGTTTTCCAAAGTAAACAACATATAACTGCAATTTAAAAGTTCCCCGAAGGGACTCTGGTAAATGCTGACATGACTGCTTTGTAATGTTTACAATCTAGAAAATACTATTTATAGCAGAAAAGCCTCATTAGTTTATCACTGGAAAGCTGGTGGTTGGGTCATTCATGTCGGAATATACACAGTAGTATAGAGCATGAACTTTCTCTGTGTGTTACATGTACATGTAAAAATACATTGCTGTCTCACCCCCTGGACAATGCTATATTATGGAAGGTGTTATCAGGAAAGCAGTGTTCTCAGGAACATAGGAAGTCTCACATGGTGACTGTGCCTCTTGGCTGGCACTCCACTCAGCGCTCTGTGTGAGACGGCATCAGCAGCAAAAAGAACTGACTGGCTCACTCCCTCCCACCCGGGCAGATGAAGGGATGCTGCCAGATAAGGGAGCCATGAACTGTGTTGTTGTTAAAGAGAATCAGTGAGCCCCTTTCCTTTCTAACAGACGAAATGAATCCTAGAAATGATCAGAATGATGTACTCTCAGCATTTCATTACACATTTTAATTTTTCCATTCAGTATCCCAGACAGCTGGTGTGATAATATTCACAGGTTAATTTGTTCTATGCTCAGTACCACACTCATGAGCTGCCATTGGAAAACACCCTTTCAGGAAATGAATGCTAGTCAGAGAGCAATAGAGGGCATCCTTTTTAAACAGTGTATAGATATTCTAAAGCTACCTAGTCATCATACAGTTGGTTTGTTATGGTTCCTGGTCTTAAAACTTGTATCATGAAATGAATCTTTAATAATTAAATTACAAAATGTATCAAGAAAATGCCCCACTCATTGACCACATGTGTGACATTCCAATGTGTGTCCATTGCTTACAGGAAGACCACGTGGCTCCATGCCTATAATGATGGGTATTACAGTGATCTGTAATGATGAGTATTTCTTGACTACATAGCACAGTCTGATTTTTCTCACAATAAAATAAAACACTTGTGAAACTTCGTTATACTTTTCAGTTAACCTTCAGCAGCTCTTAAAATGGAATGTAAGTTAAATTTTAAGAAAAGGAAATAAGTGCTTTTCATGTTTCATATTGATCTTTTTTCTGTAGGAGAACAACTGTTTGAGTTTTTTGTTTTGTGTGTGTGTTTGTTTGTTTGTTTGTTTTGGTTTTTTGATAAGTTTTATTATGATTTGCATGAACTAATAAAGTGATCCAGCCAAATGTGTGGCTTTTGTGTAAATCTCAGTATTTATTTCTGTCTTATAAAACTTTATCATGGCCTAACTAGTATTGAATATTCATTGGACAAATTAATTGGTCCTCCACACAACTTTTTTTTTAATGGTTATTTCACAAGTTTCAATAAATTTAATTGAATTTTTTTTATTAGCTGGATCTTCTGTTCAGCTTGCCTCCAACAACTTTTCTTTAGAAAGTTCATGAAACCCCTCAGCAGCAGGAAGAAAGGTTAATTGCATATGTGCATACTTGAAATGACAGCAAATTTCCATAGGCAGGTCTACTACGGCAAAGATGTGAGCAGAATTTTTTTTTAATTATTATTCCCAGTCATAGACTAGAAGCCATAAATGCAGTGAGAGCTCTTTGTTGCTACCCTCTTCAAGCTTCATTTTTCACTTTTTCAAGTGTATTAAGTTAAAATAAGAAGGCAGCCTTGGAAGGCAGCTATGAAAAGCTGTGGTCTGCATTAAAGATAAAATGGATGTTCAGCTCCATGGAAAAGCCATTTTTGCCGAAACTGCTGTAAAGACTGACGCTGCATGAGTGGAGAGTATGAATCTGTGCTTATAGTGTTTCTCTCAGGTTTGTGTATCTTGATGTTTGATGCACTGTGTTTTATAAATAGTTACTACCGTTGAGTAAAATCCATTTCTAGGCACTGTTATGTGTCATTGGCCTTTTGTGAATGTGCATGTTTTAAACTGCAAATTTTAAACATTTTGTCCTCAAATTGTTATTTAAAATAAAATAAACTTTACCATTACATAAAGGAACTGGCTAAGGTTTTGATTGCTACTTTTAGAAATTATGTTGCTTTATAAAGTGTTCAAGCCACAGTAGCTATAGTATGAGATGGCGTATCTGATAGCTTAACACTTTGCTTACAGCTGTATTTCATTCACTTAATTCAGCTAAATGAAATAGAGAATTGGTCCTAATTTGATAAGAGGGTACTTTGTGTAATTAACACAAAAATATACTTTGGAAAGTACTGTATTTCAACTTTATTGTTTAGAAATGTCTCCCAGGTGTCTTTGCATTTTAAATCAGCTTGCCAGTAAACAGTTCACTTGGGTCTCTGTCCTTTTGTGTTGGATGAATTGCGTAGGTTTTCTAAGCCCACTTAAAAGAGAGAGAGAGAAGGCCAAGTTTAGCCAACAACATTTGGAGTAAGTAACTATGAAATAATAAAACGGGCCAAAAGTACATGAAAGCAACAGAAATAAGGACCTTTTTTATTTTTCCAGAAATAAGCATCCTTTAGTAAACACCCACCAAACGAAGATGCAGTTTGGTAAACTGGTAGGAGGGCTTGTCACATTGAAAAGGATCTGATTTGATTACACTGTGGCCGTGTCTATTTAGCTGTTGGGAGCCTCTGTTCTCTCCACAGACTTCTCACAGCACCTGGTGGTAGGTCTTCATGCAAAACCCCAGTAAAGCAGTTTAGGGAGAAGTTTCCTTTGAGTTCTATTCTATTTTGCCCACTCAGCTGCCATCTCCCTTTTAAAAAAAAAAAAAATTTCATGTATGTGTGTGTGTTGTTACTCACTTGACTTAAGATGCCATCTGCTGTTACCACAGGCAACAGCAAATTTGAAATATGCCCTCATAAACTCAATACGTCATCCCTGTTTAAAGTCTGTTTTCCCATGCTTACAGCATGGCTTACCTAAGGCTGCCATTGCTATAACATAGCTACCTCGGTTTAGTGAAGAAAGTCTTACGAACCTGGATAATTTCACAAGTAAGCTCATAAAAAAAAAAAAAAAGTTGGAAAATATGAAATACTTTGTAACATTTGGTCTTTATTACCTCCAAGTACAAACTGGGTAGTTAGCAATAGAAAGAATCACTGTCAAAATAATTTCACTCATAATGAATGCCTAATTGCAATTTTAAAATAACCAGGTACATAAATAAATAAATATATGTTAACACTTCTCTCCCTTAATAACTTAACATGTCTATAAATTTTTATTTTTCCTAAACATTTGTGAAAATTTTAAAAGTTAACTGATACCAGCTTAATGTAATTAACTGTGGTAACTGTATATATTTTCAGGAAGCCTTTTGGTTACCTCATTTTATAGAAAATTTTTCCTATAAGTCAGGTCAATCCAATGATGATACATGCAGCTCCTCACACCAAAAAAGAATAAGCAGGTGGAAAAAGTAAGAGGAAAAAAAAACCCTATCCATTTGGACAATTAAAAATATAATCAGTTAGCTTTGGAATGGATAATAAATAAATAAATAGATAAATAAATAAATAAATTTTAAAGCAAGATTACTCCATTAGTTCTGTTTTCCAAAGTATATGATAAAATGAATGCACATCCCATGCAGTGGTTTGGGCCTACGTGTTAAAGGCGTGGTCCAGCTACTGCTGGGAGGTGGGGCCTATCGAAAGATGTTTGGAGACAGGCCTGAAAAGGCAGATAACTCTGTCCATTCCTCCGTCCTGCTTTTCCCCTTGGCTCCTTAAGATGAAGCTTCATTCCCTACATGTTCTTGCTCTGATGTGCTGCCTCATCACGAGCCCAGAGCAAATAAAACCTCCAAATCTGTGAGCCCAAATAAACCTTTTTATATTCTGAAGTAGGATCTCTACAATTTTTGTTACACATGCCGGAGCAATAACGAGCAATGACAGGAATCTGGCCACGTGTCAAGAGGTCATGAGTTATCAGGATACTATTCTCTGTTCTCTGTCCCCAGTCAATGGTGCCTGCTGTCAGTGAAGGTGAAGCAAATGGCCCAAAGACTCTTTAAAGCAAGAGCCAGAAAACTAACCAGACTGCCATGAAGCTCAAATGCCAAAGCATGCCCCAGAGTCTCCTCTTCCTCACATGTAAAAGGGGAAATGTGTATCTTCTCCTATTTCTTTTCATGCTTTATCTCATGTTCTCATAATGTAGCACAGGCTACATATCTATTAGGACCCGGATAATAAAGAATATATTTGACACTTTGTGACTAGTCACTTCTCCCACCCCCGGTGGATTTTCGGAGAAATATTTTGGTTGTTTTCCTAAGAAACCTGGGCCTTCTAGGCTGGCTGTCATAGAGAAGATAGAGCTGCAAAGCTGACCTCCCAGGACACAAATCTTAACTCTCTTATCTTTGTCTCTTTGTCCTGGGACATGCTGTTTAGCCTTGTGCTGTGATTTCTCCATCCGCAAGACAAGCATATAACAGTCCTACTTGAGATGAAAGACCCTCTGAAAACTCAACAGCATAGTGCAGAAAGTTCTTGATGAATACAGGATGCTTGATGACTAGTCACGGGAACATGCAGATTTCACAAAGGCTCAAACCCTTTGTGAAAACAATAAAATCCTCCACCGGACAACTTACCACTGTATTTTGTAGTGGTGGCATATAGCGAGCATGATCTCAGGATCTCAGATGAATCGACCCTTCATGTCAAATTGTCCAAAAATGAAGATGTGAGCAATTCACGGTCCCTTATAAAATCTTTCAAAGCTGCCACTTGCTTGTCCAGCCATGTTAATGTTCAAGAGTTCTAATTTATCCCCGGATGTTCCTGGTTCTTTTTCCTTCATAGTTCTTCTTGCCTCTTAATTCCATCACTCTTCTCTACTGGCCCCTGCTAGTCTTCCTCACCAAAACCCTCCACATATTTTTCACAGCTCGTGTCCCTCATCAGGCCCTCAGTACGCTCATAATACCCTCTTTCCGTGCACCCTGCATTCCTGTCATGGCCATAGTTATGGTGCATTCTAAGTACTGGCTATAGACTCACCTTCCCCTCGCTTACTGTGAGCTCCAGGGAGAAGAAACAATAGCCAGTCTCCATTTTCTTTCTATTTGCATGGGTATGTGTAGTTTGTACACGTGCGGATGTGTGTTTGTGGGGGGTGTACATTTGCATTAGACTCTGCACGTGGAAGCTTAAGGCTTATGTCAAGAGTCTTCCTTGATGGCCCTGTGCCTAATTCACTGAGGCAGGGTCCCTCAGTTGAACCTAGAGCCTGCTGACTTAGTTAGTCTAGCTCACCAGCTTGCCAGGGATGCCCTGTCTTCAGCTTCTGGGGGAAGCTAGAAATACAAAGCGGCTGTCATACTCAATCAGCATTTACACGGATGCTAAGGAGCCAAACTCAGGCCCTCAAACTTGTACAAGCCCTTCACCCAACGACCTCTGCCACCCTCAGCCATGCCCTAATGGTACATTTTGTGAAAGCACCTCCGTCTCATCTTAAGGACGAGTTACCTCGATTTGGCCAGTGATGGAGAGGAGTCCCTTGTGGGAGCAGAAATGCATTTAGTTCCACCTGGTGTTCTCAACCCCTCACAAAGGGCCAAAGGGGAGGAATGTGATTCAAAGGCTTGTTGAATGAGACATGTCTAAAGATTACCATAGGATGGCTTTATTGTGATAAGACCAGAGGTAACATTAGCAGCCACTTCGCTTCCAAAGAGAAGATTTGTTCAAAGATACATTTTGTGTCAGCAAGTGCATGAGCATTGATTTGGTTCAGTGTCACTGAATGCCACATTACAGTAAGTTACGTACACACGTCATCCTAATTTTAAATACTAATGGCCAGCTGATTTGTTGGAGAACCCTGCAGCAGCACAGAACTCTAGATGTGAGTACTCCTTGAATCTCAGAAAGAAAGTGTTCTGTTCTCCATGGCAGCAGGAAACAGAAAGTGCAGCTACTGGTTGCCTGGCAGTCAGTCCTTGGCATGGGAGGGACATTTCCACCCTCTAGCAGACACTGGGGAACCGAACACGGGAAGGTGAAATTGGATCAATCACCTCTATGTGACTCTGCATAAGGGACTGGCATCTGGGTCCTTCATAATCTGCCAAAGTTCTCTCTCTCTCTCTCTCTCTCTCTCTCTCTGTCCCTCTCGCTCTTTTGCTCTCCTGCTCTTATCCTTGCTCTCTCGTGCTCTCTCTCCCCCTCCCTCATTAGAGCACTGAATGAGTTTGTTTTAATTACAGCTATATTACCCATGAAATTCATTTTTGACAGTTAGAGATTACAAAATAAGAAACGTTCACTGCACTCAGTAGGGTCAAGAATCAGCATTTTAAAGTAGGGTGTGACATCACACAACCATAACCCCAGTATGGGGTGGGGGTGGGAGCTGAGGCGGCAGGATCATGAGTTCTAGACTAGCCTTGCTATGTAGGGACACCCTACCTCAAAAAAGAAACTAAATAAATGTCAAAGCAGATGTCACCCTGGTGTTTGACAACTCCAGTACTCACAATCTGGGGAGATTTGAACACATTACTCCATTCCTCTCTGCCTCCATTTCCAAGTCTGTAAGATAGCAACCATAAGACCTGTTGTTAGAGTTGTTTGGAGGATGGAGTAAGTTAACCCACAGCTGCCCAGCACTGTGCTTGCCTCGTGTTAGGAACTCGGCAGAAGTGAACTTAGAACTGTCCAAGAAACCGTACAGAGCAAATGTGACTCCAGCCAGGCTAATGGTACAGTGGTGCGGTTTCAAGCAGTCTTAAAGACTTGCTCTTTACATTTAGATGCCTCTTTTGTTGTTGTGTTGTGTTGTTTTGTTCATGGTCTTGAATACTTGGGAGAAAGACCACATTTGCATGTGATAGAAAGAAGAGACTAGAAGTTGGCACCACTCTGACTTCACGGCAAAGAATAATTAATGCCTTCGAACTGGTCTCCAATCCTCAACTGGAAACAGGGGGGCAGATTAACCCTCTCAGGGCAGAATTCTACCTCTGTTGACTTTGGGCCGCACTACTGAAGGTGATTCATGATGTCTGAATTCCCATACGCTGGGCTCTCAAGCTGCACCACCAGGGGTAGGTAATGGTGAAGGAGAAGCAGCCTATGGGGACTCGGCAAGGAACTGGTAGCCGGCAAGGTGTCCTGCCTGAGCAAGGCTGGCCTGATCCCATGGTAGGGCAGGGGTCACATCTTCCATGTGCTACGAAAATCCAGAACTTCCTATGAAAAATGTCTGGATGTCCAAACTCTTCAGGCCAAGTTACATGCATATGTGAGGATGACAGAAAGACTATTTTCTAAGGTCTCTATAAAAACCAACCTCTGCTGCTTTCATAAGCCCTAATGAAGACAATGTTTCCCTTAATTTTGGAGGATAGAGTGTGGAATAATGATATTTCCTCATAATAGATAGCAAAGAATTGTCACTAAGAGTATAAAATGAAAAATTTTGACTTGAAAATCTCAAATAAAGCCCAAGAAACAAGAGAAATTTATTTATTTTTTTCTAGCATGGCCCATATGTGCAGTCATCAGACATCAAAACACAGTGGCAAATAAAATGTAGAATGCTTGATGATGACACTAACAGCTGGTCTCTAACCTCCACAGAAGTTACAGTGCGTCTTCTCAATAATTAGTGCTGTCAATTTGGTAAGTAAATTAAATTACAGTTCTTCACACTTATATATAACCTCTTTATACAAATATATGTTTTAAGACCCAATTGTCCAACTTTCACTTTAAACACTAATATTGCTGAACAACAACAAAAAAAGTCTACAATAAATATTCCCTCAGGTTGGTGGGGGAAGTGCTTTCACACAGAATCTGTGTCACAACAAATGTCTGAGCATATATTTAAAACTTTAAGCTTCCCATGTGGTTACCGAAACCTTGTGTTTTGGAAAACGAAAACTCGTATTTTAAACAAAATTTGTTGTTAATCTTAGAAGTGATGTTCTCATCATACTAATATTACTTACAGTTAGGTCGCCCCCAAAAGTATAAATAGGCAGTTCACTGCCCCCTCAGGTTTACTTAACAGTTAATTTTTAAGTGCACCTTTATAATTACAATTAAGGGTATGTTCTTCCTTATTAATGTATATTTGTACTATAATTCAACCAACACAGGAAAAAGAACACGGGGCAGGGCACTGTTCTACAAAGGATAGCTGAATTGTCCAGTAAGTTTTTTTTTACTTCAATTTGCTAACTGAACATCAGACTGCTGGATGCTTTAGCAAAAGGAAAATAAACTGTCATGTTCATCACGTTTGCAAAGTCAGACCTCCTGTCATTGTAGTCAAGGACCTCAAGACAAGAAAAAAGTGCTGTATCTTTCTGGACGTCTCTTCCACGATGCTGATGGGTTATCCTGAATCTCCTCAGAACTGAGCGTGGGTTGGCCAAGACAGCAACACTCCACCTGGCTGCCATTTCACTGTGTGGCCTGTTCACAGCCAATGCCCCGTCAACTAGAGCTGAAATCTGGACAGCTCTTCCCAGGTAATGGGGGCTCTTGCTGGAGAGGGTATGCAAAATATTGGGGTGACACCAGGAAACCGGATGGCTGGGTTAGGTGTATGGCATGGCCAGTGGTGTAAGGTGGGGGTGACGAGGGCACCAGGCAGCCTGGCTCAGCCCTGGCAAAGGAGAATCTTCGGACAGAGCCTCCTGTGGAGCTGGAGCTGGTGGCCGTGCTGGACTGCCTGGAAGGCGCTCTGAGGCTGCTGGAGGTGAGGATCATGGGCAAGGTCTCTGTCTGGTAGCTGCGGAGGGAGAAGCGGATTGGCTGCTGGGAGGGTTCCTTGGGTCTCAGACAGGTGCAACAATAGATAGCCACTAAAGAGCCCAAGATGATGAAGGCGATGAAGATGGAGCCGACGATCAGGAAGGGGACGTAGACAGGCTCTGAAAGGCAAAAACAGACATGCATGAACGCTGGGTAAAAGTCGCTCAAACCCTAGCCTCTGCTTTAGCATCTTAGAGATGAGAGGCAGAGGCTCATTATGGCTCCCTCAGTCAGCTCAGCTTCTCAGAGCTTGTGACTGGCAACCTGCAAAGCTCGATGACGATGACGGGCTGTTCTCGCTAACCTCCTCGCAGGGAGGGAGCAAACTGCGCGGCGGCCTCTGTCAGCAATTAGACATCATACTGAACATCTGGAGGTCAGAAAGTCTATTGTCCTATTTGTGCACCGAAGGGAGAGGAGACGTTTGGGGCGGGGGGGGGGGTCACCAGGCATATGCATTTAAATCTAGGTCTTAGGAGTTTTATCACGATGGGACACTTAAAGGCCTAACTCATCTCCTAGACTGACAATCTGTCTCCTGTCCAAATGTTCCCAGTTCTAGGCCTGTTGAGCAAAGCCCCGGGGTGTTAGGAGGCTCTAGAAAGAGCAGTATAAAGCAGTTCACAGTGAGCCCCAGTCCCGACTCCAGGTGTCCTATCTCTGAGTCTTCATTCCCACCCACAGAAAGAACAACCTGTACTTCTTAGTATTGGAGAACCAGACTTTTTCTAAGAAATAAGACTTGCCCAGTGCTATCAGGGCTAGTGTCCTGGTCTCACCCCTGTGTTTTTTGTTTGTTTGTTTGTTTGTTTGTTTGTTTTAAAGCCGCTCTGAGATGCAGCCCCTCCAGCTTATGGGCAGCAGACAACACACCTGTGTTCACTGAGGCCATCATACCCGGCTCTCTGTATCAGGTTCAGCTTCTATCACGGAGGCCATGTGAGATGGAGCCTCCTCTTACCCAGATATAAATACATATCAGAGAGCTCTCTACTTTTCCCAAGTCTCAGCCAGTGAGTGGCGGGTACCAGTCAGCGGTGGGCTGCTAAGTGTGAGTTCTTCAGCCTCCCCTGTGCCCCCCTGTGTGAGGTGAAGTTGGGCTGCACTCCTGCCCAGCGCGCCCAGAAGTTGTATGTTGGTTTCATCAATAAACTGACTCTCGGATGGCAATGCGCCCATTTTAAATTCCAGCGGTGGCCCGGCGAAGTTAAGCCACCAGAGGTTAGACTGCTGGCAGGAGACAAAGCCACTGTCCATCTGGTTTGGCCTGATCTCAGACTCAGCAAATGGGAAGAGAGTTCCAATCCTCTGCTCTCTCTCTCTCTTTTTTTTTTTTTTTTTTTTTTTTTTTTTTGCGCACCCCCACCCACCCCTGGAGGCTGTCTTAACCCTGCCTAGAGGTACAGAGAAGTCTAGTTTTCTAACAGGCCAGGAGGGCCCAGAGTTCCTGCTTTCTACCAAACAGTCTAGAAACTGCTTCCCAGATCCTCAGGACTGGGCATTTTGACATCCTCCCCACCACCACCAAAATTAAACGCTGAGACGCTGACCCCTTTCCTCTGGGTTGATGAGACCTCTCCTGCCTCTCTCGACCTGCTTCCTGGGGATCAGAGTAGGTGCAGGCTCCTCCAGGCCGCTGCCTCGCAGTCCTGGGGAGCCACGGGCCCTTGGCTCGGCACACTTCTCGGGTTTCCTGGCAGTAAAACCATCGCCTTGAGCTGTAAAAGGTTTCCCCCGATGTTCCAATTCAAGTGGAAAACTTTTTTTTCAAGGTGTAAATTTCCTCTGCTGGGGTCGTGATTTATTCACCTCTTAAGTGAGCAAGTGAGCAGAAATCTGACCCGTGTTTTCCGCTGTGAGAACAGGGGGCCTGAGGAAGCCCTGTGACCCTTAATTTTAAATCCTCACCTCGAAGACTTGGGTGTTTCTGAAAAGCGTGACAATAGGGGGTGGGCCAAAGAGGGTAATTTGATGCAGAGAAATGAAAGGAAGTAGGAAGAGTGACGAAACCGCTACCACTCGACAAAAGGGGAGGAAAAAAAAAAAAAAAGCGGTCAGAGGACTGTACTTGGGCTCTTGACCAGAGTCGAGTTCCCTGGGACCCGCACTTCCGGGACTCCCAAAGTGACCGGAGCGTCCAGGAAACCTAACCTGGCTCCAACAGCCTTCCCCAGAAACACCAGGTGCAAGGCAGTCCTGCGACCCCTAGCAAACTTTCACGGGGGGACCTCGTGCTGCTGGGACTCAGACTGCAAGTCGATGGGACCCCCTGACCTGAAAGGCGGTCACCCACTCTCCCCGAGACCCCCGCCCCCGAGACCCAGCGCTGTCTATTCTGCTCCCCTCGCTAGTAAGGCGTGCGGGGTGGGTGGGCGAAGCCCCGTCCTCCCAGGGGCGCCCTACTTACGCGCGGTGATGCCGGGATGCTCCAGCTCCCCGCGGTCGTTGGTGCAGCCGCCCTGCTCCAACCTGGCGTCGGCGGCGGCGCAGCAGTAGCGCAGCGCGCACGAGCCGCAGCAGATGGTGGCGTCCCGCGTGTCGAAGTCCTCGGGGCACTGGAACCCCTCGTGGTAGTTGCCCTGGGCGTCCACCCAGCCGTGGCAGTATTCCCCGGGCTGCTGGGCGCCCGCCAGGCCCCAGCGCAGCGAGCCCACGAGGACGCAGAGCACCAGCAGCGCCCCCATCGCCGCCCCGGCGCCCGGCGGCGGCTGGAGAGCCGGAGGGCGGAGCCGAGGCTCCCGGGACCACGGTTCCGCCTCCCCCGAGCGGCCGGCTGAGCCCGCGATCGGACACACGCTCCTCGTGGCTCAGCAGCGGCCGGGCAGGGGGCGAGGGCTGCGCCGCGGACTCCGCTGGCCCGAGGACGGCATGGTGCGCGGGGATGGAGAGGAGGGGACCGGGGCGCGCGGGAGGCCACCGCCGAGGCTGCCACCGCCTCTGGCCAGGCTCATGGCGCTAAGGAGCACCGGGGCCCGGGCCGCCTCCTACCCCGCTTCCCTCGAAGGGCCGTCGGGCCCCGGACGACCAAGCCCGGAGCCGGGCAGCGTCCCGATCGCGGGCCGTCGCCAGGTCCACCCGACGGAGCCCAGAGCGCAGCGCGGCTCTCCCACGTGCAGGTCCCGGGGAGCCGCGGCTAGTTCAGCGCCCGCCCCCGGGTGTCACGCGGGCGAACCCCCTGCCAAGTGCAGAGGACCCCGGGGTGGCTGACAGCTCCGCCTGCGGGGCGCCCCTTAAAAAAGGCCGAGGGAGGAGGAGACGCGAGGGGAAGGAGCGTCCGCCCTCCGGGCCTGCCGGGGGAGCTAATCGCAGCCAGCGCCCCGAGGTGCGGCGTGGCGCACGCCCGCGGGTCCACGCCGCTCTCCCTGCCGCCCCCACCCACGGCGCTCCCCTGGGACTTGGAGGTGACCCCGAGTGGGGCCAGTCCCCGCCCACCCCCGCCCCCCACCTAGCTGTCACGTTGGCCCTCTTGAGTTCCGCCGCTTTAACTTGAGTGTTCCGCACAGACCCGCTTTGTTCCCGGACCCCTCCGGTTCTGAGATTCGTTCCGTCCCCCCTCCCCCACCCCCACCTCCGTGTAACCTGATTTTTTTTTTTTAGGGTCACCGACGTTTTGCGCCACGCTCTCACTGCCCTGCCCCTCCCTTTCCAGCTTGCACAAGTTCACTCTCAACCCGCACCGTGGAGCCGGCGCCGGGGAGGACCCGGGTCAGCTCCGCCAGCCGCACTTCAAAGGCCAGGGCTTTCGGGGGGTTTCGCGCCCGCGAAGGAAATAAAAGAGCAGAATTAATGATAATCGAGGCTAACTGAACTTCTGTCGGGGCAAAGGAACACATTTGTTTAAATGATGCGTCCCCCGGGGGCTGTTTGCAGGGGCACGGCTCCTCCAGCCGAGAGAGAGAGAGAGAGAGAGAGAGAGAGAGAGAGAGAGAGAGAGAGAGAGCCGCAGTTCCGAGAAACCTGGGCTAACCTCAAGGCTTTATTTTGACTGCAACCTGTGTTTGCTCCGCGCGTTTGTTGGTTCGGTAGGCGCGAGGACGTTCGTCTCGGCTACACGGCTTGTCCAGCGCCCTGAACAGCCTGTCACCTATCTGGACGCTAGCAAGTGCCCTGAAACACACGGAAGGCGGCGTCAGGGCACAGACCACACAACCGTGCGGTCAGGAGTATTTACGGCACCGCCAGCTTGCCCGCGGTCCCGGGGGCTTCTAGGAAAACCTCAGTGCTGTGAATAAAAAGGCTTCATTTTTTTTTTAAGTATCTAAATTAAATTCCGTTCCGGATAAACGATTAGTCCTAGCTTCTGATCCTAAATATCGAGATTATCGTTTAATTTTAAAAGTAAATGCCCAAGATATCTCGGGCTGCGTAAAAGTTTAACTGTATTGCTCTGTAATAGATCTTGGGGGTGGGCGGGGGCCATCACAAGTTAACTAGCTGTTAAATAAAGCCAAATTACGTCTTCCGTGACTAAGAACTTCACTGAAGCATCTGGGGGAAATTATTTCAGTAGAAACTTTCTAAGTAACGGATTTTTATTTGTATAGAAAAAGAAATGTTGTCACCAGGCTTTAAGGTTGTTTTTTTTTTTTTTTAACTCTAGTTGTTGTTGTTGTTTTTGGGGGGGGTAAGGTGGTTTTGCTTTGTTTTGCTTTGCTTTGTTTGTTTGTTTCAGGGAAATACAGGGAAAGACATTTAGAAACCACAGCAAATGCGGACTACAATGATCATAATTAAATGATCAAACACAGAGACACACCAACTCCTAATAACTTTCCCAGAACCACACTACTTAATATCTTTTTTTTTTATTTCAGTTAAGATTGGAAGAATTTCATTACATCACAACTGTGTGAAACTGTACAGCAGCAACAGCCTCTCCATCAGGACCCCCAAGGGTCAAGTTTCCTTCCTCCGTATCCAGCTGTTCTTTGATAGCGTTAATATTTTAAAGAGTGATTTGTTGGCACTTCCCTCCCATTAATTACATTCTCGGTGCCACAGTGGGGTTCTTTTCCCTGGGACACTGGCTATCATTAATTTCCTCATTTAGAGCCCGTGTCCCTTTGACTTAGTCAGAGGCTGTCCTACTTAAATTTAATTTGGATGATATTTGCTAATGGAAAAATAACCAAACTTCTAAAATTAGTTGATACTCCATAAATCTGATAAGTGCAAAAATTAAAACAACTATTCACCAAGCTTTTCTCTCTAAGTCCTGGATCCAAACTGCTTTTGGGTTACAATAAACAGCCCAGAGGGCTAGGACAAGGATAAATATGTAAACCATTAAAGAGTCCCTCAAATTTTACATGCAGGTAGGCTTTAACTTCAAAAAGTTAATTCTCTAAGAATAATTCTCTAAGAATAATATTTGCCTCTTTTTTAGGTTTACAAATACCCAAAATATCAGGGATTCTGTTATTATTTTCATAGTAAAGGAAGATTTAAAAGCCCCCAGAGCCCCTCTCCCCACGCCTTTTGGAGAGTGTCGTGGAGAAAGATGATCAAAACTCTCTACCCATGATATCATGTAGAGGCTTTAGAAATGTTACACTTCCCCCTGTCCCAGTAACAGAAAGCTCCTATTTTAGCAAATAATACAATCTTAAGAAATCACTTTCCCAGCCTATTCTCTCTTGTGGTCATCAGGAAATTTCTCTAGGAAATGAGTTACATGATATGATGTCTGGGATTTTCTTTAATAAACACCAGAAAGGGGGTTGAAGGAAAGAGAATGGAGAAGAAAAGAGAAAACCAAAAAAAAAAAAAAAAAGCTAGGACAGCAACATGCTGATAATTTTAGGTTACAAGGGACCTTGTATAACAGAATCACAGTTCTGTCTTATACAAAAATAAAAATTGCACTTTCTCTGACATCACTATTGATAGAACACATGGCCCTGAGTTCCACTACCAGCTCCATTTTTTAAAATTTGTAAATCAGTACCATAGCCTTCTTTATCAAACCTTGTTCTTTTTCTTTCTTCTCTTTTATATTCTTTTGGGCATAGTAAGTGGAGAGAGAGAGACAGAGACAGACACAGAGAGACAGAAAAACAGAGACAGAGAGACTCACAGAAAGAGAGAATAACATTGAAAGGGCTGAGAACCAAAATACGCTAAAGAAAAAGAAAGAAACCCCAAAGGTATGCTTTAAAAAGTTTAGACAAGGAGGGAGGGTGGAGTTGGGAGGTGAGGAGGGAGGGGGCTACAGCTAGGATACAAAGTGAATAAACTAACTAATATAAAAAATGAAAAAATTAATTAAAAAATAAAAAGTTTAGGATTAAGGAAGTTTCCATAAGCCATTTGCATTGGACCAGGAAACAAAGTTAAAGAAAAAAAAATAGATTTGGAAGTGGGACAAACTACGAAATCTTGGAGCTTCTTCAGCCTTGTGACCAGTTTTGTGACCCTTTAAACCCCAGAATGCATAGTATCCAGAACCTTCATTGTTATCAGCATTCCCTAAAATTATGACCAAAGAATAAAAGAACTTCAGCAAAACAACAACAAATGGTTCCTTAACATCCTCAAGGCCTTTTCTGGAGTGGTTTGTTATCACTAATTAACTCCTTTGCTGGTGACCTAATGAAATTCTTTTCTTGGGTCACTCACTAGAAATCTTATTTCAGGCCATTGTAAACCTGAGTTAGTTGGGAAAAAAAAATTTTTTTTTTTTGAGAGTTGCAGTATCTCACATTTACCACTAAAGTATATAAAGATCCCAAGAAATAGGAAGTATTATTCTCAGACCCTGGAAACTGGTCCCCAAGGAGGAATTGTACAATCAGTTCCTCATGATTGATTGACCGTGTTCTTTCTCTTGCCCAGAATATCTGGCAGCCTCCATCTTGTCATTTATAAAAAGAAGGAATTAGAAGCAGTGCTCTTGAGGCAGAATGAAATACCTGGGGATCTTGTGAAAACACAGATGTGGGTTCTGAGCATCAAGACACCAGAGTGTGCATGTCTAAGGAGTTTGTGGGTGATGTGGTGATGCTGAAGCTGCTGGGTTGAAGACCATTTTCTAACCCCCACCTGCTGTCCTCTGTCCTCTCGTTCCCAGACTCAGGTGAAGCGAAGGAACCCTAACTACATGCTTGTCTAAATCCCGTCTTTTTCCTGGGCCACTCTCCATGGATCCCAGCACTTCTCAGTCAAACATTTACTGCAACTGTCTCTCACAGAAACCACTTCCTGGCTAGAAGAGGCTCCAGGCGAAAGTGGTCAAAATGTGTACATGCAGACTACACATGCATGTTAGTAACACCAGGAGTGTTACCATGGGGAAAGATGCCCTCAAGGATGGGAAGCAAAGAATGGGAGGAGCAGATTCAGGCCAGTGGCTGGTGTCTATTCTCAGCCTGCCCCCACACACATTAGAGTTGGTCTGCTGCCTAGTACAGTGTAGAGGGAATGGGCGGCTGGATAAAAGGCAAAAATGAATGTTTTCCCTTAGTAATTCTGTGTTAGGGGCGTCTATCTTCTCCATTGGTGTAATTTCTTCATTACTGTATTCTGGGACATAGAGGAACAGATGGCACATGGGGGTGGGGGGAGATCTCTAGTAAGTGCTGAATGAATGACTGGTTGCACCAGGTGTATGGTTGCTTGAGAACTTGTTGCAACTGAGTGACAGGGTTCCGTGACTATGAAGAAACTGGAGAAGAACAGGGTGGGC